TATGAAAGGGAAAATTCAGTGTCTTCCCCTGAACTTTCACATTTCACTCAGGTCACTCTTTATGACAAAGGCTTGCTGAACTTGATCTTAGATCTGTTATTGTTCTGTCTACTCTTTTATGTCTGAATAGTTTTAAATGCATAAATAAAGTGAACCTGCAGAGTAGTATTTCTAATATGTAGCATTTCCGATAAAGAGCTTTGATTTGACATGCGTAATGGCAAGGTACTGTACAGCACATTCCATGTTGAGATTAATTCATGTGTTTTCTCAGTGTTATCTGATAGTGCTGAAGTTAAGATCAGCATGAAAGAATGCAGCTTATCTTACTACTGGTCTTTCTATGAGTGGAACGGGACAACCACAGCAACTGCTCTGCTCATTGATTGCCGTAAACCACGTAGATGACATAAAAGCTAAGGGTTCCCCTTTTCATTACATATTTCATCCAGCTGGGGGAGTTTCGGTGAGGAAGGACGGCACCAAAACAAGTCAGTGAGCAAAGATATTGCAGCTTTTTTAAATGTAGGGCGCAGTTTTTACAACTGTAATAAAATGTTTGGGAGTGGTAACAGACAATAAATTAAGCTGGAAACCACAAATAAATGATGTTAAAGCAAAAATGTCTATTGTATCAAGTACCAAATACCAATCATGTACCAAGCTTAAGATTTTTATAATCAAGATCTATGTATACATAGTTGCATATTTGAATTATTGAGTAGATCAGAATCAGAATTTGATTTATTGGCCATGTGTGTTGAACACATGAGGAATCTGACTCTGGTACAGCGGCTCTCATTACATATGTACATGGCCTTATGTAAAGCAGCAGTGGGCAAGTAACCAATATAAGGCTGAGAACAGAAGTAAAGAAGTAATGTGCATGTCATGATTCTGTCCCATTTGCTTTCTGTTATGCTTTTATTTTGATTATACTTCCTGTCCCCAGCTTACCCTGACTCCTGGGAACTTTAGCTCATTATCCAAATTGGTTTTTACCTGCTTCTGATAATCCACAAACCTGCTCACTAGAGTATATAGCAGCTTCTCACCCTATGGGAAGCTGCCAGATTGATCTCTTAAGTTCTGTGCAGACTTTCCAATATTCTTGTTTTCTTTGAGATTCCTGATGTGACCTTGGATTGTTTAGGCCACCAATTCTGCCTTGCCCTCTTGATTTGGACTGCTTTCTGTGTATGGATTATCGGACTTCCCTCTCTGACCTCTCGTTTGTGGATTCCTCGGCTGTGTAAGTTTGCTGGCTCTGACCCTGGACTGTGTTTTTGACCTGAGTGTGTGTATTGTGTTTAAGTAGTTTTCTGTATCGTTTTGTTGTTCCGTGCTCTTATTAAAGAGACATTCACTTATCCTCGTCTGGCTATATAATTGAGTTCACCCTTGATATTATTGGCAGCTTCACACATCGATTCATGACAGTGCAATCAAGCAAAGGAATATGCATTAGGAGTAAAAATAGTTGTATACACACACACCATCTGGATTTGGTGGATTGATATGTACAAGGTATATATTTACTGGTGTTGCACTGAGGGTTATTGTCCAGTCATACTGTTGTGGGTTAAGTGTTCATCAGAGTGATGGCCTGGGGGAGAAGCTATCCCTGTGCCTGGTTGTCTTGGTGCACAGTGACCTGTAACGCTGTCCAGGAGGGACGACTTCAAACAGATTGTGTCCCAGGTGTGAGGGCTCTGCAGTGATCCTCTCCCCTCCTTTTGACCTGTGAGGTGTACAGGTCATCCATGGAGGCCAGGCTTGTATCAGTAATCTTTTTTTTTTTTTTAAAACAGTCCTGACTGTCTGCTGAAGTCTGTACTTGTCCTGTTTGGTTGCTGAGCCAAACCAGACAGTGATGGAGGTGCAGAGAACAGACTCAATGATTCCTCTGTAGACCTGTATTGGCAGCTCCTGAGGCAGGTCAAACTTCCTGAGCTTGCACAGGAAGTACATTCTCTGCTGTGCCTTCTTGGCAATGGTCCTGATGTTGGATGTCCACTTCAGGTCCTGGGAGATAGTGGAGCCCAGGAACTTGTAGGACTTTACTGCTCATACAGTGCTGCCAAGTATGGTGAGTGGGGGTGAGGTGGGGAGGTTCTTCCTGAAGTCCACTGTCATCTCCACTGTTATGAGCGTGTTCAGCTCCAGATTGTTGCGGCTACACCACAGGACCAGCTGCTCAACCTCCCATCTGTAGGTTGACTCGTCATCGTCTCGGATGAGACCGATGACCGTTGTGTCATCTGCAAACTTTAGAAGCTTGTGAAGGGACCAGTTCTTGCTACCATGCTAACTCCGAGAGACGAGACAGTCCATGTAACTTCAAAACAGTGCTGATTTATTCAAAGATCACAGGTAAAATTAACATTACACGCTCAGATATCTTGCGGCTAGCGCTACACTAGCCATGTTCTTCTCATTCCTCTGTCCCTGTCATCTCACCTGTCGCCGTTCTCCTGTGTACTCGCCTGCCTTGTCCTGGTCCTCTACTCCTGTTTCCTGCAATCCTCCTACTCATCTACTCGTCCTAGTCTGCTCAGCCATCCCGGTTATTGTGCTATATGTTGACTCTGTTACCTTGGTTGTGTGTGGTTTTTTTTTTTTTTTTTTTCCATTAAACCTCTTTCTACTAGCACCTGGGTCTGCAAACTTGAGTCCTACCTCAGTTCTCCCTCACCCTCCTGGTGAGGGGAACTAAACCATAACATCCCCTTCTCTCATTTTCCTGGACAGCTCCATTACACAATCCGTTCTGTACACCTGGAAACCTTGGATTGCGCTGTCTGTGACTGAGTCACTCAGCCAGGTCTCTGTGAATCATAAAGCAGCAGAGCTGGTCCTGTTGATGAGGAGTTCATCCATCTTGTTGGCTAGGGAGCAAACATTCGCTAGGTGGATAGACAGGAGTGGAGTCCAGAACCCTCTCTGGCGTAGCATGACCATAACTCTTGCCCGCTTCCCTGAACAGTGTTTTCTCCAGATCCTGTAGAGTGCAGCTGTGCCTCCAACAGATTGTCCACAAAGATTGGAGAAAGGTAGTTTGGTGTGAATTGTCCGATGTTTAGCAATTCTTCTCTGGTGAAAGTAATCTGGGATTGATTGCAAAAGACCGAGGAAACAAAGGGAAAAACAACACGCACGAGTACACAAGGCAGCTATAGTTGTCGGCGCCATCTTGCAATTAGATGTATGGGGAAAATACATTTCTATTACAATTTTAATTTATAAGTAAGCCATACATTTTGTAAATAAGACAAGTCATTATGAACCAATTAATCCACTATTAACTAAACAAGGAGTTTTCAACTAATTCCCAGGAACCACCATTCTAAGAAATGACCTGGGGACCATTGTTGTGGGATGGATAAACTGAATGGGCACTATTTTAATCCCAAAAACCACCTTGGATTTTCTAAACACTATAGATTTGCACAAACCATAAATACTATGTCGAAATGTGTTTTAAAAAAATATTCCTACAGTGAAACTGCAGTACATTATTGAATATATATATATATATATATATATATATCTGAAATGAATCATCACACACAGAATAAGACTGTACAACAGGCTTTTTTGTTTGTTTGTTTTTTTTTTTTTAACCAGACCGCAGTAAGACTGATGGCAAATGTGAAAACGTGCAAAAACCCCTCATTACCTTACTAAGTAAAATACCACATACAAGGTGTTTTATATTTGTAAGTACATAATGACCAATGCTGTTTTGACTTTCAACTTCAAGGGTGGCTGCACAGTGGCGCGGTGGTTAGTGCTGTTGCCTCACAGTGAGAAGGTTGCAGAGTTCGCAAGTGTCCTCGTGCTTGGGTGGGTTCTCTCCAGGTACTCCAGCTTCCTCCCACTGTCCAGAGACATGCGCCTTTGGTGACTCTCAATTGCCTGTGCGTGTGAGTGGTTGTTTGTCTGCATTGCAGCCTCTCCAGGGTGTACCCTGCCTTCGCCTGATTGCTGGCTGGGATTGGCTCCAGCAACCCAATTTGGGACTACACGGTATAGAAGATGAATGAACTTCAAGGGTTTTCATCATGACCATCGTAGATATTGATCAGTTAAAGAAATATTTAGTTCTAATTGAAAAATTTTATAAAGTCTTTAGTGTATCCAGAGGGAGCTGTGTGAACTCTGATAAATGCCTTCAGATGTCATTTGAGTCGGTGTTTGGCATAATATAATGTAACAGCAAATTTTGACAAGGAAGAAAAATGTGAGAAAAGACTATCTCTGGTTCTGTTGCATCAGTTTCCCTTCTTTCAAAACTGTGTGCTTGACAATGTTATAGGAGTGCAGTGGTTCGCTCTCAAACACAGAGCTGGGATCAGGATATGGTGGAAGCAGGTGGAAACTGCTAGTCTGTCTCTTTTCACAGTTACAAATACACTCACTAACACCTACTTGCTCATTAATTAAAACACTGTATTCATTTTGTTTAATCTGTACACAAATGGACATATAACAGTCATTGGTGATTTTAGGAATGACCTGCTGCTTAATCAGCAAGTGTCATCACAATGAGATTGCTAGGTTTTAAACACTAACTGCACAGCGACTAAACTAAAATCTGTAGATAGATAAAGCCTTGTTCATAACCAGTGGGTTCCCTGTGCTTCTAGTGTTTATGCCAAGCTAACTGCTGCTATAATGGATGCACATGGTGATTGGACATGGGTGAGATGCTGACCTTTCTTACAGCCCCACCTCCTGATTTTAGCCTGACAAGCTGGCTGACGCTGTAGTCTCATGTACCTTTAAAAAGTCAACAGTGTCCATGTTCCCAGCAGCAAGGCAGCAATAACAGATGTCATCCTGTCACCCAGTGCTCCATTTTGGCAGGTGCATTGTGTCCAGATGTGTGAGCCCCTGTCCTGCCTGCCTTTATTTTTATTTCCATGTCTGTCCATTCCATGCTCCCTCCCCTTTCCTCCTTCCTCTTCCTCTCTCACCTCCCTCCATTTCTCCCTTAGCTCCTGTCGTCCTGCAGGTGAAGACAGAGACAGGGAGGGGTCCTCCACACCAGGTAAGGAGGAGTCAGGGCAGTCCAGCCAGTCTGCAGCAGAGGACTGTGGGTATCCTTCCTGTGGAGAGGAGCCTGGAAACATGAACTTCCAGTAGGAGTGGCCTTTGAAGAAATAAACAGAGCCTAGAGAGGACAGAGGGACCAACAGTTTACATGTTGTCCAGTGTTTGTATTTGATTCTATAAAAGCTTGCAAAAGATGATAGTAATGATGCCATGTTTTAATGGTATTCTACTTATTACCATCACCCCTCTCATCAAAAACCTCTGTTCATGATTAGCTCATTTCATTTGCAGTTTTTGAGAAACAAAATAAAAAAAATCATCAAAACTAAACTTATATCTGCAATAACTGATGTTCTTTGTCCACATGGGGGCAGTGGAAACAACAGATTCAGGTGAGAATTTTCTTTTGATGCATTACTGCCAGAGAAGCCTTTCACACTGTTTTTTTTTTTTTAATCATTTGATAGGTTTATTATAAAAATTGTGATTATAACTATATCCTTGTAGTTTATGCCCTCACCATTGCTGTCTGTGATGATGCCATTGACTCCCTCTCTAAGCAGCTGAGACCAGGTGTCCTCTCGCTTCTCTACCACAGCGTCTCCCATGTTTCCCCATACAGGACCCTCCTCTGGGTCCCAGACCAGGCCCCACCTCCCTGCTACTGCCTCCTCCTCTTCCACTTTTGTTCTGGCCAAGTTCCCCATCCTGAGGGCAGAGAGGGGCTGAGGGTAGCCTTCCTGCAGGGACAGGTCCCTGAACAGCCAGAACTGGGAGCCTGTAGCAAGACACGAGCTGGAGAGGTTAGTTGGTGGTTTTCACATTTATCAAATAACAGTCAGGCTGAGGGCTGGAGAATGGTCACTGATATTGCTTTTCATGAACAAACTATAAATTTTCTCTTCTGAATCAACTTAAGTGTCTCTGCAAAAGGAAATTCCTTATGCCTGGATACCACTAATGAAGATGATGGCATGGTCTGACTGTCGCTCCAGCACAGCATGAAGATGTGACAGGTCAGGCGGTAGACCCCTCCACATCCTCCTGATTGAAGCCCCGTGACCAGACACCAAACCAGCGCTATTGACCCTCCACATTGTCAGACCTGGAGGACAGAATGAAGGAGAAGCAAAGGAATGGTTCAGAGACGAAGATGTGAGTGAGCATGCTAACCAGAGGCGGAGAGCTTTCATCTTGACAAATCATAAATATCTTTTTTCCTCTTTTTTGCCTAATAAGTCAGTTTTATGCCTATTCAGACCTTTGAAAAAGAAAGTCTCTCCTCGGATCCTTGCCACAGCATCAAAACTGGTGTTACAGCGATCTATGAAGGAGCTGGAGGAAGAGAACACACAGGGAGATTTATATAGAGAGCTTCATGCTTTCATTTGGTCAAATAAAATCAAACTTTAACACCCAAAGACACAGCCCCCCAGTGGCTGTCAATCAAGCACCAACAACACCCCCCTTTTTTTAAACCTCACACTCAAAGACAGACAATACAATATTGATATTTCCCCAAAGATGCAAAGATGCTCTTTGTTTTTATAATACAAAGCTATTAACATACTAAATTAAAAAGGGATGAAAAATGACTAAATGTGATCTCAGTTTGACTTGACAGTTTGGAAAAAAATTGTGAACCTTTCCTTTAAAAATTGCACTTTTGTAATGCATATTTTCAAGCTGTTAACAATCATGTAGTGTCATGTTTAACATTTCTTAAAAGCTTTGGGGAAAATACTAAAACTGTTGTAGTTCCTGGTGAAACAAATTTATACAGTATAGTTACAAGTTAAATTTTTATTATTATTTTAATTTTATTTTTTTAAATCTTGTAAGTCGTACTGTACCCATATCTGTGGTGATAGTGATGGGATCTGTGGTGCATCTGAGGTTCTGGAGTGAGGCGAGGAGTGTCAGTAGCCTGCAGCTGGTTCCTTTTACCTTTTAAAAAAAAAAATTAATAAATAAAAAATCAGTTTAAACCAAATGACAGTAAAGCAGCTAGATACTCTTGACAGTCTATTTCCTAATGAACTTCAGGGTGATACTAGAGAAGAGTTCATCTTGTGGGAACCACAAATCAGGCCAATCCATTCTGTAGGTGTGAGATATTTCACTGGAGAAGCGAAACTTGAACCTGATGGTGGTTTTAGAGCAACAGTCAGGGGATCACCAAATTCAATAGGAAACATCCTTTGGGCACCAGTTGAGATGTTTTATTTTAAAAATAATCATGTCTACCTGATAGTAGTGCTACAGGAAAAGTTAGGTCACCAAAAAGTGTAGACTTTATCCTCTGGGGACCATGAATGTCTGTACAAAATTTCACGGTAAGTCATCGAGATATTTCACTCTAGACTACAGTGGTGGATGCACTTAGCATCTACCGTGTCCATAAATCGCAATAATCACATGCATTGTCCCACTCAGCCTCCCAAAAATAGGAGCAACTGAGACAAACCTTCCTCTAGAAACTGTAAGCACATCCCTACACCGGAGACAACGGCCCTGCCACCAGAGAAAGTTGTTACAGTTTTAATGGCAGCTGCAGTACATTCCTACATCTAAATGTAACCACGTCAGAGGATGTATAAAAAGCTGCTAGATGTAAATGAACAAAAGGTGCATATCCAAATGCACAGACGTCAAGAGCTGCTGATGGGCTGGAACAAAGTAGGCGTGACATTATGCAAAGAAAAAATGTATTAAGCACTCAGTCTGTGAACACGTATCATCACAGAGAATTTCCTGCTTTTACTCATTTGGTCCTGTAGAATACAAAGTTTTCATTTGAGTATCAGAGCAGAATGTGGAGAATAAATCTGACAACATATGGTTCTGTACTTCCTCAGTAACACACCAGAGGTCAGGCCAGGCACCGTGTTCACAGCTGTCCTCAGTTCAGGTTTGGGTTTATTGTCACTCCCACACATATGCATTCTATACTTGATTCTGATTCCCTTTTTTTGAGTTCTTGTAAGTCATTTGTTCCAAAATCATTAAATACTGAAATACACACACACACACACAAAAATGTATGGTTATTGTAGCCCTTCTCAGTATCTGAAGACGTAAAGTCATAATAATGGAGTCATATCATCTTTCTCTGATAATATTGTAATGCTTGGGTTTGGTTCTTGTACAGTCCTCACATGACAGGAAGGGTCAGAATCAGTTATCACAAAGCTGACTATAATACTGTAGTGTTGCTGGAAAGAAGGGTCAGGAGAACAGGTCTTTTTCTCTTTTATTGACAGCTGGCGAACACACAGCAACCACAGAATACAGAAATGCACACTGAACAGTCCCACCAACCACGAACTACAGTATATGCCAGAGGGGCATTCTGGGGGACCACACCAACAGTCTCGCTTAATGCGAAGTCCTGCTAAGTACTGCTCTGCCACAACGCTACAATATTGTATGTGACTGAAAGATGTTTAAGTCCTAAATTCTTATAGTGGACATAGTTTACTTTTACAAACACAGGTGCAAGAAAGGTCAGAGGGGTCTTACCATAGAGCTGGGTGATGTGCTCCACATCTTGGGGTCCCAGGTGGTACTGGAGAGGGTCTCCAGCAGGACCCTGGTAGTACGGCCTCATCACTGAGTGTCGAGATGAAGAGTGAGCTAGGCCTAGTGCATGGCCAAGCTCATGGACCAGGACTGTAAAGAGGTCAGTACCTTCGGAGGCTAGGAATGGGAGAGAGAGAAGGAGAACCATTTTTTTAATCTTTTACTTTTAATAGGAAGCAGAGCCTTTAGCTCTATACCTCTCTACCTTTAAGATTAGACTTAAGATTTTCTTTTTGATAAAGATTAAAGTTAGGGCTGGATCAGGTGACCCACGGACTATCTCCTGTTGTGTGCTACACGTGAGAATGGGCAAGTCTGGACCTGATTGCATGGACGTTGTCCAGAGTTCATGGCTTTTTGTGACTAGCTGCAGAAGAGAGCCAGATGTTTCCCTCAAGAGTTGGTAGAGACAAAAACATAATACTGGACACAAACACCACTCCAAACGAATGATCCCATTTCCATGTAACCAGCTGTTGCAACTTAACCATATCAACTTAAAACGTGATGTACTGTATTCACAGCCTGATTCTTTTGTCCCCAAGTGGCCATAAAATTATTTATTGCAAGTTTAACAAACATAAAAACCCCAACCACCATCCTAGTCTATACAACTTTAATCCTACTTTACTATATAAAGATCCATTATGTCAGATGCGGCTACAGTTCAAAGTAGAATTTGGTTAGAGCTTGAAATTCATTGTGTGATAAAGGTGAAATAATATCAGAAGATGGAAACATTATTTTTTTTCTATTGTTGCACCTGGTTGTCTGAAGGCCCACTCCTCCTCTGCATCCAAATGAACTCCTCCTGCCCGAGCAGGGTCTGATGGGAAGAAAGCATGGCCGACTGCTCCGCCTGCCCCATCAAATGGATAGCCATCTCCGTGGTTGCCGTGGAGAAAGTCTACCTGCAGGTCCGCTGCCTCTGAACTGCTCACCTGGGGAACAGAGTGACTTGGTGGTGATTTTCAGATCAGGTTTGGGCAAATATACAGTGTAAGCTTGGGCAGCTAGGCACGGATAGGTGTTGTGATATGGCTTTTAGCTTTAGTCATTTTCCCCTTATGTCATTAATTCAACGTCAGCCAGATTCACTAACCTCGTGGAATTCCAGGGGTGTTGGCTCCGCCCACACTCTTAAAGCATAGAAGACCAGTGAGCGAATCATTTCCGGGGACAGATGGGAATAGGGAGGATATGATTCTAATCTAAAGAGACAGAGGGACAGCATCTGGAGAGCATTACATTAAATATCCTACAATACTTGACTGAAAATATTTATGGTGCATCAGTTACCACCTTCTCCCACCTCCAGTTAATGTTCTTGTGTATCCACATGGAGACAGTTCTTCTCCTCCTCATGTTTCTCCCCTCTTGGCTGGCCAGTGATTTGAATGGTTCCACCTGGTCCGGTAGGGAGCAGCGCGGACTGTTCATCAATGCCTTTGTTTCTTCATCTGAACATAGTGCAGAACAAAAGCAGGACACTCAGTGTCTGAGTGTGTTTGATCTAAAGCAATGCATGCAGATTTTTACAGTCCTTGTTTGTGATCCTCACCTACAACTCCAGTGTCTCTGAGGCCTGCAAACGTTTGCATGGCCTTAACAGCATTAGTGACAGCTGTCCAGGCCTGGAGCTGTCCAGTGGAGGGGTCTGAGGGTGGGAGGTAGCCATACTTCATCAACCAATCCTATCAGAAGGGCAGATAATCACCTTAACAGGGTTTTCGGCATGATTTCCAGTCCTGCACTTGAGCTAATTTAGTGTCACCCAGGGAACAGGCTAATAAATCACCTCAAGCATTTCTGTTGAATGCAGGAAACAAACCAAATAAAAATGACCTGAGGCTTCCGACCTTAAATTCTAAAGTGTGTTAGTCAAATAAACCATAATAAAAGAAAATCACAGAAAGAGACTCGAACTGATTCTTTTTTTTAAACCTCAGTTATAGCATCATGGTAATGGGATGATGAGTATGGAAGCCCATTACTGCTAGTAAAATAAAATTCAAAGAAGAAAGTTAGTCATGCTAGTGGTTGGTCAAAATGTTGAGTTATCCTTACTTGTCATTAATTTGACTTTTCATTTCACCATTTTAACTTTTTATTTAATCCAAACTTGATTTTTCACTTACCACAAGCAATTTGTTTTTACCATAACTGTTTTTTATTCTTTTTTTTTTCTTTTACTGGTGGAAATGAGCTTCCATAAATTTGAGCTAACTGGGACTGAGAAACTAAATTTGAGATCATTTTCCTATTATGCCGCTCATCTCATTTACTGTGAGAAATTATTTGATCTGAACATTTTAAATGAGCAGGTCATCCAATAATCACAGGGTTGCAGCTTTGACCCCCATCTGCTCCTGTTCATATATCGCTGGTGTGTTTTCTCCAAATGACTCTAAATAGCGGGTATAAGTGACATGTTCACACACTCACTCACAATGCATGGAGATCTGTTACTGATGAATTTCAAACTTTTACCACCAGTTGGGTGCTCTCATCTTCAGTGGGTGTCACTGGTGCAGAGGAGGGTGTTGGGGTTACACCAGCAGCAGAGGGTGTTTGTAGCCATCCATTTGTCAAGCAGAGGAAAATAATACACATCTTCATCGTGGCTGTGTGTTTTTGTGCAAAATATTCACTTAACGGTCATCTTTGGTAGCATCAGTGCACATAAATCCACTGACGTCTGAGCTGACCTCCCATACCTGCAGGGAAGCAAACAATTCAAAAACATCACAGACACATTTGATAATGGCTGCAACAAATACTGACGAGATGAACAGCAATGAAAAAGATGACAATTTCTACAACATGTTAAAGTGCATAAATTTGTACCAACACACTAGTAAAACAAAAATTAACTAAATA